CCTTATTTATGAGTTTGCCAATAAGGCCAAAATAATAGCATGTGGAACTGTAGGAATCTCAATGTGTATCTTGACTAGTGAAAGTAGGTTTGTATCAGGTGGTAGTAGAGAACCCAGTGGCTGATTACTTGACTAGAACATCAAAGAAAGGGAGCCCATTTGAGCATAGAATGGTGCTCATTAAGAAATGTAAGGAAATTCTTGCATGCAACTACATAAATAGTGTGTAAAGTATATTGCTGTTATTTGGGATTTGGATTTTTTTAAAGAAGAGGGGCATATGAATGTGCTTTAGAAAAAAGGGTCATAGTCATTCTGAAACAGCAACCTAAATAAACCAAGAAGCTTAAGAGAACTTTAATTAGGCCACACTTAGAATATTGCATACAGTTCTGATCCCCACACTACCAGAAGGATGTGGGTGCTTTGGAGAGGGTATAGAAAAGGTTTAGCAGAATTGGTAAATAGGCTAGCAATTTCAAATCCACATGTTGCTATTGATGTGTAAGTCTTGTATGAATTTGTTGGTATGATGTAGGTCATACATCTCAAAGGCTGGTGGAATGTATCAAATAGCTTATTCCTTTGGCTGTTTGCAGCAAGCAAAATATTGAGCATACTCCACCATCCTACCTTTGCAAAGATTCAACACAGTGCCCAGTACTAGATGTGATTCTGCAATTGTACATTTGTTAAATATTAAAACAATAAACATGTTAAATATGAAACTTCCTAAATATGCAGGAAATGACAATGAATTTAGGATTCAGTCTGGCTTGCGGCATGATGCACTTGTACTGAAAACTGCTAGGAGTTATACTTTGCACCGAAAGAACATGTGCATTCAGTGTGCCTGTCTCAATGAAACAAAATATCTATTCTCTGATTCATTTCTCAGGTCAATGTCTTGACCGCTCAGTCAATGTGCTTTGTTTAAAATTTGAACAACACTTGGCAGTTAACTATTTGTCATCAACAACTGATGCATTCTCCAGGGCAACAACTCTACCAACCATAGCCCACTTAACCAGTTGCCACTTTGCTGTCATATCATATCAATGTTGTTTTCCCTAAGCTTTGCTATTCCTTGCAAATTGTCCTCATGAGTGCCAGTCTAAAAGCTTTGACACAATGTGGCCTTTTTCAGCAATACTAAATATTCAGCTTTCCATTTATTAGACAGTTAGCATTAATGATTTGATAAAGTTTTAATGTCAGATGTTTCATAATGGTTTTATCAAATGGATCTTAAACTTTTTTACGAATTATAAAATCCAAAATAAGTGTTGAAACTAATGGATTGGCTGAGTAACAGGATGTAATTATCAAAAAAGGAGCTCCAGAAAAGGTTATGGTTTCACAGCTTTTGCAGTACTTTTGTTTGAATACCTCGAGGATATGAAGAGATTCCGAATGATATCAAAACTGGAGCGAAGCTAATTTGGTCTGATTTGTTAAATGGGAGAACCAGGCTTGTTTGAAAGTAGTTAGAAAAGCATACTGATTGTCTGATGTGTGGTTAAGTTCTAGCAGATGGTATTTGCAGCCAAAACATTGGATAACTTGTTGCACTAATGTTTCAAAGGGCATTTATGCAGGGCAGCAGAAGTGATTTTGAAATAATTGACCTGATTAAATATTTGGAAGATTGGTGTAATAAATAACAATCAAGAACTCTAACAAAGATCTAATTCTATTATATCATAAAAACTGGGGGCTATTATATCTTGGGAGTAAATTAGTTTAAAATCCATACTTGGCCATTGTAAAAACTTTATTTAATTCTATAAATTAAAAATACTTTGATTTTAAGAACTATTAACTCTTATGATGTAAAATTTTATCTTACTTTTTGATGTATTCGTAATGGGGTGGATCTAGAATTAACATTTTGCAAAGATACATTGGAATGAATTGCAATTAATTGGCAGGTATGTAACTGCATATATTCAACTCCAATAGTTAGAACATATAGAACATAGAACATAGAACATTACAGCGCAGTACAGGCCCTTCGGCCCTCGATGTTGCGCCGACCTGTGAAACCAATCTGAAGCCCATCTAACCTAAACTATTCCATTATCATCCATATGTTTATCCAATGACCATTTAAATGCCCTTAAAGTGGGCGAGTCTACTATTTTTGCAGGCAGGACATTCCACTCCCTTACTACTGAGTAAAGAACCTACCTCTGACATCTGTCCTATATCTATCACCCCTCAATTTAAAGCTATGTCCCCTCGTGCTAGCCATCACCATCCGAGGAAAAAGGCTCCCACTGTCCACTCTATCTAATCCTCTGATCATCTTGTATGTCTCTATCAAGTCACCTCTTAACCTTCTTCTCTCTAACGAAAACAGCCTCAAGACCCTCAGCCTTTCCTCCATAAGACCTTCCCTCCATACCAGGCAACATTCTGGTAAATCTCCTCTGCACCCTTTCCAATGCTTCCACATCCTTCCTATAATGCGGTGACCAGAACTGTACACAATACTCCAAGTGCGGCCGCACCAGAGTTTTGTACAGCTGCAACATGACCTCATGGCTCCGAAACTCAATCCCTCTCCCAATAAAACCTAACACACCGTACGCCTTCTTAACAACGCTATCAACCTGGGTGGCAACTTTCAGTGATCTATGCACATGGACACCGAGATCTTTCTGCTCATCCACACTACCAAGAATCTTACCATTAGCCCAGTACTCTGTATTCCTGTTACTCCTTCCAAAGTGAATCACCTCACACTTTTCCGCATTAAACTCCATTTGCCACCTCTCAGCCCAGCTCTGCAGCTTATCTATGTCCCTCTGTAACCTGCAACATCCTTCTGCACTATCCACAACTCCACCGACTTTGGTGTCATCCGCAAATTTACTAACCCATCCTTCTACGCCCTCATCCAGGTCATTTATAAAAATGACAAACAGCAGTGGCCCCAAAAACAGATCCTTGAGGTATACCACTAGTAACTGAACTCCAGGATGAACCTTTCCCATCTACCACCACCCTCTGTCTTCTTACAGCTAGCCAATTTCTGATCCAAACCGCTAAATCACCCTCAATCCCATGCCTCCGTATTTTCTGCAATAGCCTACCATGGGGAACCTTATCAAACGCTTTACTGAAATCCATATACACCACATCAACCGCTTTACCCTCATCCACCTGTTTAGTCACCTTCTCGAAGAACTCAATAAGATTTGTGAGGCACGACCTACCCTTCTCAAAACCGTGTTGACTATCCCTAATCAAATTATTCCTTTCTAGATGATTATAAATCCTATCTCTTATAATCCTTTCCAACACTTTACCCACAACCGAAGTAAGGCTCACTGGTCTATAATTACCAGGGTTGTCTCTACTCCCCTTCTTGAACAAGGGGACAACATTTGCTAGTCTCCAGTCTTCTGGCACTATTCCTGTAGACAATGACGACATAAAGATCAAAGCCAAAGGCTCTGCAGTCTCCTCTCTAGCTTCCCAGACAATCCTAGGATAAATCCCATCCGGCCCAGGGGACTTATCTATTTTCACACCTTCCAGAATTGCTAACACCTCCTCCTTATGAACCTCAATCCCGTCTAGTCTAATAGACTGTATCTCAGTATTCTCCTCGACTACATTGTCTTTGTCTTTTTCCTGCGTGAATACTGACGAAAAATATTCATTTAGCACCTCTCCTATCTCTTCGGACTCCACGCACAACTTCCCACTACTGTCCTTGACCGGCCCCAATCTTACTCTAGTTAGGGAATCGTCTGCTCCATATTTTGGACTAATGAATTAATGCTTTTTTCATTTGGGTTATTTGAAAATTGCTATTGAGATTTGAAGATCTGGACTTACAAAAGTATTGAGAGTTAAGGATTAAACTGCTGCTCTTGGTACATTGATGCATTTTCCTTGACCAGTGCTGAGATAGCTGCATAGATTTTGTATATCTTAAGGTGTTTTCATATATTAAATGTGTTTTTATGAACCCAAGTTATTGGTTTTAAATGTGACTGATGTACTTCTGTTGCGATTTGTATTGGATATTTAATAGTGTCTTGATGCAACTTCTTAAAATAGCATCTAGATTTCTTGTTGGCAGATTTTGAGGTGAGGCATTTTATGCTGAAAGGAGACAGATAAGAGGTTGGGAATGTCTCTTGGAAAGACCGGACCATACTAGTTCCTATTCTCTGTGATTGATGCAAAGTGGAATTTCAGATCTCGAGTGCTTAATAGTGACCTAATACTAAAGGAATTTAATTGTTTAGTGATAGTTTTTATAGTCTGGTAATAGTGACCTTTGTTCAATCATTACTTTTGTCATTTACCTCATCTTTGTAACAGTTTTAATGTATTATGCCTGTTGGTTGTTTTGGATGAGTACACACAGATCAACTTTGATAAATTTATTTTGCATAATGCCAAATCTTTTAAAATTCCTTGTAAGACATTTAGCCTTGAATTGTGCCTGTCTGCTTCCGCGACTTAAGTATTTTGCCGCTGTAAGCATATAGTTAAATTGAAGGCTATTGTCTTTGAAAATACCCTTTTGTACTTAGTATTTTCTCAGGCAATTAGGTACTGTAGTTACAATGTTTAATCTTAAAGTTTGTCCCAATATGCTGTATACAGGGTAAACCATTATTCCTGCTGAAGCACGGAGGTCTTTTGTTTAGATCAGATTAACATTGTGGAATATAATTTTTTCACCCTATTTACAGTTGGTATTCATTTACCCTCTTGATCTTAATTTATCATTGCGTTCTTTTGTTTACCAAGACAATGATTATAATTTTGAATTCTTTCCCCTTATTGTTAGGAGTTATTTGAGGACTTGCCTGAAATAGTTTCCTTTACTTGGTTTTACTTTTATGGATTAGGCAATTAATTTGACATTTTTGGGGACTTGATATTTTTTTTCTAAAAGTCTTTTATAAATGTTGCTCAGTGCAATTCAAAACGCGAGCTTTGAGTTGTATTTCAATTCATGTTCCTTTTATTAGTTTTCAGTGCTGATGTGGCTGCTCACTTATGTTGGTGCCTTGTTTAACGGACTGTCCCTGCTGATAATAGGTAAGTGCAAATAAAGACTCTGTAGTTTGTATTCCTGTTCCATTCACTATTTGCACTAACTTGTAACTTGTATTTTTTTTGAAATTCTTACATTGATGAGTATATGCATGTTAAAGTACTTGGCTGGCAAATTGACTTCAGTTCTATTCCACTTTTACTGAGAGCTTGATCTGTAGATCTGGGTTGCATCTACTTGAGATGCATGTCTAAGTATTTTATTTAGTTAGCCATACATTCCTCCTTTCAAAGATGCATTCTCAAAATCTTGCAGAAATCTCAAGATATGGTTATTTGGATATTGCAACTCCATTTTGAGAATGGTCCCAGAATGAAAGCTGAAATAGTTTAAAAATGCAATATTTTGGCACCAGCCTGTCAAATTTAAAGAAGTGATACACCCATAGAGAGCAATTAACTTTTGAAAATATATTTGAATGCTAAATGATGGGATTGCATGACAGCGTTTCAAGTTTGTCCTGTACTGTACCAAGCTAAATTTAATATCGACTAAGCTCAATATACAACTAACATTGCAACTGCAGTCTTCTCTCTGCACCAGCTGCAGCCTTTGCCACTGTAGTCTCTCCTTAACAAAAAGATGACAGTCCATCCCAGTTGCTCCTTCCTTTGTCTTCAGTGTGAGAACATTTTGCAACTTGCTGTTCAGTAGGTCTCAATCTGGGTCCCTAGTCTCCATAGTAACCAAGCTGTGCAAGTTAGTTGCCCAACAGAGCTCATAGGAGATCAGACTCTCTTCATTCTTCAGTTATACCTTGAGTTAGAGATGATCCAAGCTGTAATTTTCTGCAAAAAAAACTTTCTAATCAACCTGTTCAGAGATGTTATTTACGTACCTCTGAGCAGATGGGACTTGAAACTGGGTCTCCTAAAAACTTCAGTAAAACAAGGATTGAGACTGACTCCCCTTGACGTCATGGCTGCATTTGAGTGAGTATGGCATCTAAGAGCCTTAATTAATTTTGAAGATAATTGGATTCAAGGTATAACTTTTCAGTGGCTGCAGTCTGTGGCTAAACAAGTTTAAATATAGCATGGAATTGAAAGAAAAAGCATACAATTGTTGATCAGAAGATGTAGGAGCACCATTCAGGGAGATCATGGCTGATCTTATAATCCACAAGTCCTTTCCTATCTTAATGCTTGATTCCCTTTCTGATTATCACCTCTGTGATAATTCCGCAGATTCCTTGTCATCACTGTCCTAACTGGGTGGCTTACTTAGTCTAAGACTATATGCTGTCTGCTCCTAAACACTCCCACAAAGCGAAACAACTTCTCAGCATCAACCTTGTCAAGGCCCTTAAAAAATCTTTAAAAGCAAAACACTGCAGATGCTGGTGATCTTAAATTAAAACAGAAAGTGCGGGAGAAACTTGGTCTGGCAATATCTGTTGTCTTATGTTTCAGTATAGCCACCTCTCATTCTTCTAATCTGAGAGCATAGGCACAACGTACACGATCCGTAACAAAGTCCTTTCATGCCTGGGATCAACCTAGTGAACCTTCTCTGACCTTCCTCCAATGCCAGTATCTTCCCTTGAGTAAAGGACTGAAACTGTTTGTTTACAATATTCTAGATGTGGTCCAACTGGTACCTTGTATGGTCTTGGCACAACTTTTCAATTATTATATTCCATTCACCTTGAAATAAAGGCCAACATTACATTTTTCTGTTGTTTGCTGAACTTGTATGCTAGCAGTTTACACACAAGGACCCTCAAATACTCCTGCAGACTTCATCTGTTCAAACAATATTCAGCTCCTCTATTCTTCCTACCAAAGTGCTTAATTTCACATTTTCCATATTATATTTCACCTTGTCAAGTCTTTGCCTACTCACTTAACCTGCCTATATCTTCTGCAGATTATCAATCTCATCAATTACCTCCATCTATTTTTATCATCTGCAAACTTGGTGATAATATATTTACTTTCCTCATTCAAGTCATTAATATCTATACCGCAAATGATTGTGGCCCTAGCACTGATCCTGCTGGTTACAGGTCGTCATCCTGAAAATGGCCCCTTTATTTTAACTCTGTCTTCGACTGTTACCCAATTCTATCCATGCTAACATACTGCCCCCAACATCGTGGACCCTTATCTTAAGTAATCTTACGTCCAGTTTCTTATTGAATGCTTTCAACGTCTAGATTTTACATCCGCTGGTGGTTCTTTGTATTGCTTGTTATCTCTGCAAAGAGTTGTAATAAATTTTGTGAGGCATGATTGCCCCTTCATGAAGCCATGCTGAGTCTGCCTGATTATATTAGGATTGTAGCCCCAATTCAGATGTTAATCAAACTGACCTATAGTTGCTTGTTTCTTGTTTGTTTCCCTTTTGAATAGGGCTGTTCTATTGGCAGTGTTCCAATCCGCCAGGACTTTTCCAGAATCTAAGGATTCTTGGAACCTTGCTGTCGGTACATCCGTAGTTTTTGTAGCTGTTTCCTTTAATATCCTGAGATGCAGCCCATCAAGTCCAAGGGCATGTTGTGATACTTTGAATTGGCAACAGTTTAGGACCACTCAATATGTCTTGGGTTGAGGCTTATGTTCCCAATTTCTTGGCTAATACTCCATTCCTTTTCTAGAGAGACTAAACTGAACAGGGGAATCCTCTCCAAATTATTACTCTAGCATGTCTTTTCAAGGAGCTGTTTGTATAATTTGTGCATCTAAATTACACCACACTTTTTTTATATAAAAATCTCAGATGAGGGCAGAAATTACAGTGGATCAGAAAGAGTTGATTATTTTGTCATAAGATTAAGAAATGTTTTCTGAATCATTTAACTTTTAATATGTTTACATTTTGCCTGTAGCTCTGGTAGCAGTTTTCAGCATCCCTGTGGTTTATGAAAGACACCAGGTAAGTGCTAATCTGGGCTGTGTTTTGTGTCCCTCCCTCGCTCCCTCACGCTCTCTCTCACCAACCCCAAACCCCCACCATCCCACACAAGAAGAATTAATCAGCAATTTGCATTTGTAGGCTTGTGAAATAGCATTTTTTAAATTCTTCGCTTGTGGGAATGTGGCGATTGCTGGCTGGGCCTGCATTTATTGCCCTTCCCTAGTTGCCCTCGAAGGTGATGGTGAGCTGTCTACTTGAACCAACAGGACAGATGCGGAAGCATTTCTTCACTCGAGTGGTCAACCTGTGGAATTCACTACTACAAAAGGCTGTGGAGGCAGTGATACAGAGTATATTCAAGAAAGATAGTTAAATTTTTGAATATTAAAATATATCCTGGGGTCTGGAAAGAATGCAGGAGTATGGAGTTGAGATAGAGGATCAACAACAATCGTATTGAATGGCAGAACAAGCTCATAAGGGCCAAAAGGCATAGTCTTGCTCCTAATTTCTATAGATGTCTTTGATTTATCAATTAAAAGTCACATTTGGCTAGTTATTTAGATACAATGGGAATCATCATTGTTAGCTGTTCCTTGGTTCAAAGATGACATATGCTTAGTGTTCATCTTTCTGACATGGATCTTCATGTAACTGAGCAGGCAGTCTTGGCTTATTGAGCAAATGGGGCAAGGCAGTCCATGAGTGAAGATATCTGGAATGGCAAGATTCACATCCTTTTCTTTGTCACCACTGTGCCTCATCATTAAAACATTCTGATTTAACATGATCCAACTTGATGGACAAGTTGTTACCATTCTGAACACTTTTCAAACTTCTCCCAGTCATTAATGTCAGTGTGGTCACATTTCGAGGAAAGTTTCAATGTCTTTGTAGCGTTTTCTTGTACTGTCTTGAACGTTGACCATTTGAGAATTTGGAGAACAGGAGAACTGTATTGGGAGAGTTTTTGTTCAGCCATCTGACACCACCACATTGGACCCATTATAGTTGACTTTTATAACGACATTTTGCCTGAATGCTTGTGGAACTGACTTATAGTAGGACTCCCACATTTGTTTGGCCCTCCCACTGACTCCGAATGAGATAGCAGGGCATTGTTGATGGAATTTCTCGTGTGTTGCTGATGCACAATTCGGATCCCTATTTAGTAAAGGAGTATAATAACGACTGCTCTGTTTACAAGGGCTTTTATTGACTTGCCAATGTTTTTGTTGTCAAACACTCACCACTGTAGTTTGTAAAAGGCTGAGCTGGCACAGCTAATCATCAGCAGACTTTGAAATTATGACTTGTATAACAAGGTCTGGGTGATTAATTGTGTAGGGGAAGAGTCCCGTTATCAACCCTTGGGGAACTCCACTACAGACCTTCCTTCAGAGTGAAAAACAATCCATTAATCACTACCTGTTTCCTGCCACTCGCCTGACTTTTTATGCATGAGGCTATTGAGCCTTTTATTCCACAAACTATAGCTTTGTCCACGTCTTTTTATCAAATACTTCTGGAAGTCCGTGAACACCACATTGCCCTTATTGCCTTCTCAAACCTTCTTTGGTACCTCATTGTTGCTTATTTTTCACCTGAGTCATTAACAAATCTCTGTGGCTTTTCATAATTAACCTGTAGCTGCACAAAGACTGCCAATTTTGTCCTGAATTATTGTTTCCAGAAGCTTCCCTACTACTGAAATTAAACTGATTAGACTTTAGTTACTGGACTTTTATAGAGTCCTAGAGATCAACAACACAGAAAAAGGCACATCTCACATCTCCTCTGAACCTTCTGCCCCTTAAACCTATGTTCCCTAGTCATTGATCCCTTCATTGTGGGGAAAAGTCTCTTCCTGTCTACCCTATCTATGCCCCTCATAATTTTACACATCTCAATCATGCCCTGTCTTGATCTCCTCTGCTCTTAAGGAAAGCAACCCCAGGCAACATCCTGGTAAATCTCTTCTGTACCTTCTCCAGAGCTATCCTATGATGTGGATTCCAGAACTACACATAATACTCTAGCTGTGGCCTAACCAACCTTTTATATGGTTCCAGCATTACCTCCCTGTTCTCAAACACTTTGCCTTCTCAAATGCTAACCACTTTATTCACCTGTCCTGATACCTTTCAAGGGACTGGTGTACACACACGCCAAGGTCCCTCAGAGCTTCCAAGAGTCCTACTGTTCACCATGTAATCCCTTGCCTTGTTTATCCTGCCCAGGTCCATCACCTCTCATTTATTTGAATTGAATTTCATTTGCCATTGATCAGTTTATCTGACCAGCCCATCTATAGCCGCCTGTGTTCTAAGACTATCCTCCTCACTTTACCGCACCATCAATTTTTGGATCATCTGTGAACTTACTGAACAACTCTCCTACATTCAAGTCTAAATCATTTTATATAAACTGTATCAACAAGGGTCTGTACACTGACCCCTGTGAGACCCCACTGTATGCAGGCTTTCAGTGGTAGAAACACCCCTGCTGGAAAATTATCACATGTGCCTCTAATTTCCATTTCCCTCAGTTTCTTTGTATCTCACCTGGGTTCCTTATCAACTTAAATCCATACATCTTATCTGAACCAGCCATAATCAATTTTAAACTTTTCAAGTATCTGAACTACCTCCTTTTTCACTATGACCAGCGCAGTATCATCATACTTGGTAAAAATGCAAAGTATTAATTTAATATCTTAGCCATGTCTCTTTATTTCCATGCATAAGTCCCCTTTTGATCCTTCAGCCCTAGTACTTTTGCTACCCTTGCATTGGTTATATGCCCAGGGAAGGTTTAGAGTTCCTTCTGCATTAGCAGTCAGGTTCTCTTCCTACATTTTTTCCTGCATTTTCGTTTCCCCTGTGAACATTTATTTTCACCCTGTTTCTTTGTTGTATTCTGTACCAGCATCTATTATAGTCTCTCGTTTTCTTATTCATCTTGACCTTTCTCTTGTGTTATCCAGGTACCTCTGAATTTGTTTGCTGTACTTTTCCACTCCATGGGAATATACCTTTTATCTGTGCCCAAAACAATCTTCTCTGAAGGCAGTATATCATTCAGATAGTGGTTTGCCTGCCAGCCTTTGATTCCTGCCATCTGGGCAAGATCCATTCTTAACCATTAAAATGGACTTGCCCCAATAAGCATTTTTATTCTGGTTTGTTCCCTGTTTTCCATAACCAACTTAAGTTTTATGATACAATGATTAATGAAGTTTGTGAGGCAGGGAAATAGAGAGGGCCTTCGTAGTTTTGTGCCATCACCACCAGAGTGGAGGGTTTGAGTTAAGGAGAGGCTGAATAGGCTGTCACTTCTTTCACTGGAGTGTAGAAGGTTGAGGGGTGAACTTAGAGGGTTTATAAGGTCATGAGGGGTATAGATAAGGTGAATAACAAGTGTCTTCCCCTAGAGTGTGGTATTTCAAGACTGGAAGTATATTTTTAAGGTGAGAAGGGAAGGGGTTAAAAAAGACACAAGGGGCAATTTTTTTCTACATTGTGGTTTGTCTGTGGAATGAACTCGGAAGTGATGGTTGTGGGTACAGTTGCAACATTTGAGACACTTGGATAAGTATGTGAATAAGAAATGTTTGGAGGGATATGTTCCAAGTGCAGGCATGTGGGACTAGTTTAGTTTGGGATTATGGTTGGTGTTGGACTGAAGGGTCTCTTTCCATGCAATGGGACTCTCTTATTCTGTTTTCACATTGTACTGCTTAACGCAATTAATTCAGGTAATTTTCTTAAATAAAGCCTATTTTGCAACCTAAGAAGCTTCTGAGAACACTTGCGGCACTTTCCCAACATACCCCTAGTCACTATTGTATTGCTGCATGTTTCCATTGATAAATTGCTAAGCTGAGACTTGAGCTGAAATTTTTCTCTGGCTATCTTTGAGGTCTTCCAAATTAATGGTTGTGATTCTTGAATTCTGAGAGAATTGGTTTGCTCCAAGTGCAAGATGCAGTTCTGCAATTCAGTTTCATCAGGTGGTTGTACTATCTGCTCTCGTTTATATAGGAGGCAGCTTTTCATGGCTGTTCTTGCACATGAATGATTATTTTTCCCCAGACCTCTAACATTAAAGTGGTCCATAACTTTCTTCATTACCATGTATTGCTGGTCATAAGGAAGGCTGGGATCTGTTGGAGCAATTTAATGTGCTGTGAGGCATCGTGTAGAATGATATTAAATTTATGAATGCCCATTTACCTGTGTTTTTTTTTTATTTCTTTAGGCTCAAATTGATCATTACATAGGGATAGCAAGTAAGCAGATTAGAGATATCACTGCTAAGTAAGTATCCAAAAAGTTGGGACACTTTTTAAAAACATGGCAACTATGCAGTGTAACTTTCTGTTGCAAGTTGAAGATTGTGCCTCGATGTATGATACGTGTTCTTAACTGTTCAGTTTCCTTGGGTTTAGCTGACATTGTGCCTTTAGAAAACACACATTGTAAAACTCTAATGCTTTGTTGTTCTTGCACACTAGAAAATACTTCTGCATTTTTGCAGTCATCCTTAAAGTTTAGTCATGCTCCCAAGGCAGATTATTAAACATACCATTCCTCAGATTTTCGTTAGATAAACAAAATAAAATTGTAATTTGGCATATTAATAATTCTGTAATTTAGTTGCTCATTGTGTACACCTTGCATCGTTCTAAAAGGTGTCAATATAGCAGGAGTTGGAAGTTATTTGAAATAATTATGGAAAAAAAATCAATTCCAGTAATTTGTCATTCTGTCTACTCGAGATGTAGTGTTGATGTTGGACTGTGCAGTTCCTGGGCTTGCAAATTTTAAAATTCATGGTGTGGTTCCTGTGCCCTTGCTGTATCCATAACTTTTCCATGCAGTTAACTTCTGTTTAATAACATTCTTCAGTTGTGTACACAGCTTGATTTGGAGTACACCTCGGGTTGGCTACACCATGAAAGAAATCTGCATCTTATTTATTGAAATTCTTGTCTGTTTTTGTTGTTTAGATTGACTAACTTCGACCAGTTCATAAGCTGTTTAGAGTTCTGCTTGTTTCTTGCAGAAGGTGTTGTTTCAAAAAAAAAAGTTGCTGTTTTAATTTATTAATTGTCATTTGATATGTAATGTTTGTTTCATGTTGAATTAATTGCATTGCTCATTGGATGTTTTCCCAAAGCTCTTTGAGTTATTTCGTATAGTTCTTGGAAATTTCTGTAATGCTTTGCTGGTGTCACATTGAAAAATGTCTTTCTGGTCAGTAGTTATAGTGAATTTGGTAAGTTTACTTTGGTGTTGCAAGTAGATAAGAGAGCAAATTGGGCCCAGCAAATGCGGAGTGCCAGACCACATGTTAACCTTCTAGCGGATTGTGAAATAAATTGTTTCAGTTTCACATACCCATTGATGCTGTTTTCAGTATTGAACTATCATTGGTTTGAGGTGGGTTTATAGAGTTTATTGCTTGAATATTATTTGTAAATTTAGCCTAACTAATTAGGATCGTTATGGCCCTCTGTCATCCTTGCTCCATATAGTTTCCTGAACCATCCTTTTAAGACTTATTGGTTTGTTTCTAGCCTAGAATGCCAATTATTGATTAAAATTTATATTTTATAGAGAAATGTGAAGTCAGGCTGCTTGTGATTTTTTTGGAAGTGTTGATTTCTCTTAGGTGCATAGTTGCCGTGGTAGGCTTCATTTTCTCTAGTTTTGTTCAAGTTGAGGTGTGGTGTTCGGTTTAGTGCTTTTTATGAAGTATGAGTTATTCTTATTCATGGCATGGGGGCCCCTTTTGAGGCCAGTATTTATTGCCTATCCATAATTGTCTAGATGGGACAGTTAGGAATTGACCATATTGCTATGAGTCTGGAGTCGCATGTAGGCCAAGCCCAGGTAAGGATGGCTGCCAGCCTTTTGCAAAGGATATTGGTGATTTATGTCACTTATTACAATTGACAGTTGTTAGCATGGTATACATTAGGACAGCTTTTATTGATTTGAAATTACAACATCTGGCATGGTTGGATTTGAACCCGTGTCCCCATAATATTAGCTTGGATTTTGGATTACTAGTCCAGTGGCATGACTACTAGCCCTGCTACCTTGTAGAGAGTACTGATGATGTTTCATTATTTGCATGGAATTTAAAACATTATCCTGATTTTATATCCTCTAGGCCTTCCATGATCAGAGTTAACTCCAAAATGCCCACAGCTTCAAACAAGAGGAACTGTATTTTCATTTGTTTTCTATTTATGCATGAGTAAAAACCACTAAAACCATTCATAAGCGCATCTGTTGTGTGTAATCTTTGACTAAATGTTAACAGTTGTTTCCATAAAATGTTACTTCACTGCTGTAGTTTGTAGCCTACTACAGAATGTATATGTCTTTACCTTAAACTTGTGAATCTGGCTAATGAAATGATATAGGCTAGTAAAACTATATAATCTTTTAAATGTGTAATATGACAAATTTGTGAATTGTATATCATTTGCATCTTCTCATTCTAGGATTCAAACGAAAATTCCTGGACTGAAGAGGAAAACTGAGTAACGGAGCTTGTCCTGTGCTTCATGGCATGTTTTCTGCTGGGCTGTCTCTTGGATTATCACAGGGAGGATTGGGAAGAACAAAATAGCCTTGGAACTGCAGTGTAATTTGCAAGTCTCTTCCATTTTGGTAGTAACAAAGTGTTTAACTGTAGTCTATTTCATAATACATTATATCACATGCTAACATATAGGAAGTTTGAATTCAGTTTATTTATGTCATTTGGTACAGAGAACACTGGTTTGTATTAAAGATTTGAGAAACTGTACATTGCACGTGTCACGGTAGCGTCTTACTATGTGAAAACAAATCATGGTGCAGTTGGAGCTTTTGGTATTCCCTGCCCCCCCTCCCCAGTTTGCACACTGTTTGTAGGATCTATGCTGTGAGGTTGGTGCAAATTCTAACCCCATGTGATCAAAATATTTACTGTTCCATTGTAGTGAAATTTGACGTCTTGCTTTTCTGACTGAAACCTTTCGCTGTATTAAGATTTTACTGTTTTAACAATTACCCGGTTAGTGTTTCACTAAGCTAAGGAGTTGACCTGAGCAGCTCCACAGTGCTTGATATTTCAGAGGTAACTGAATTTTAAATATGGAACCACAGCACTGAACCGTACACTAAGATATCTATGCCATAAATTGAAGTCTCAGCATAAATGTTCAACCATCAGATTTTCATCTGTTTAGCCAGAAATGTATGAGCACATCTATAGCAAAATTTTAACTGTACTTTTGATTATTTTGTGGACTGTATCTAATGCTATGAATAAATGTAACCTGGACATTTCAAGCATTGTTTGATGCACACATCTGAGATTGGACATTGCATTGTAAACGAATTGGGCTCAGGCCTTTGGGGAATGCATTGTGAAATAAAAATGAGAATGAATAAAGCTTACAAACAAAATATGGATTCTGTGTGCAAACCGTATATGTAGGCATGTTTAATATAAAATTATGCATGTACAAATTTTATGTGTACACTTCAAATATAGGCTGACTTTGCCAAAGTAATTTGAAATTTGTGTTATTGCCCTGTAGTTTTTTCAAATGCTTATAGAATCATAGAATGATTGCAGAAAGAGGCTTGTCCAGTCTATGACCACTCTGCAAGAGCAATTTAACCAGGCCTGCATACTGACCCTTTCCCTGTAACAGTATAATCTTATTGCAGGAGATTGACTCGAGTAAGGAAGTCTTGCAGTTTGGTGTGAGATCACCTGGAAATATGTCTGAAGATTTGGTTTCCTTTTTAAGAATACCAAAACTAAGCAAGTGTAGTCCATATGGCCTGTTGAATCTGCTCCACCATTCAGTTTGATCATAGCTGATATCTGGCTTCAACTGTACTTTCCTAACTAGTCCCATATCCCTTGATTCCTGAGAAACCAAAAAAATGTCTAACACAGCTGTAACCAAATTGGTTAGAGACAGCCAAAAATTCTGAACACTTCAGTGAAGTACTACATAAAGTCCTGGTGGTTTGTTGGAATTTAGTCCCTGGCATTTCTCTGGTACTTTTCCCCTGATTGTTAATTGTCCTAATTTCTTTCCTTTTTAACTCCTGTCTTTATTTCTGGAATGAATCTTGTCGTCTGCTGTAAAGACAGACACAAAATGCTGAATGCCTCGTTTCCCACTCTTGGGTAACAATCCAGAAATTATTGTTTGATGGTCTGTATTTTAAATTTGTAGGCTGAATCCCCTCATTCATTCTCTTAGGTAGAACTAGGAATGATATTGTAAACGATGTTTGTTTCCACATGGACAACATCTTAATCTTTCCCCTTCGATGCCCCCCCCAGTTCATCTTCAGTGTGAGGAGTTTCTAATTGAGGCTGCATAAAAGAACATGCATTCCCTTGATTACTTTTCTCTGTCATCCTATTTCCTCTTCTTTCCTTCCATTCGAATGGCATCCCTTACGGTGCCATGGTCAGTCTGCTTATCCTCCTTGCAGTCCTTTGCCTCATTCACACAGGTAACGAGTACATTGTACCTGTTGGATAAAATCAAGGATGGAGTCTTCTCCATGGTGGTTCCCTGTATCTCACTTGCAGTCACAGCATCCTTTTGTGAACATTAGATTAGGCACAACTTTAACCAAATCTAAAGGATATGTCTGCCTCCTGGAACCAAGTACTAAGGATACGCTCCTCCTCCCTGACACTCCACAATGTTAAGTACAGTCCAGAACTGCTAGGTCTGTGTTTGTTTTTTTTTAAGTCACACTTGCTCTAGAGGTTTGCAAAAGTATCAAAAACAAATTGTCTGGAACTATATACAGATTCCTACGTGCTGCAGCCACCACCAGTATTACCATTTATAGAATCGTAGTCATACAGCATGGAAACAGCCTTCGGTCCAACCAGTCCATGCTGAACATAATCCCAAACTAAACCAGTCCCACCTGCCTGCTTCGAGCCCATACCCCTCCAAGCCTTTCCTATTCATGTATCCAAATGTCTTATAAATGTTGTAACTGTACCTGCACCCACCACTTCCTCAGGAAGTTCATTCCACATGTGAACCACCATCTGTGTTTAAAACAAAAAATTGCCTCATGTCTTTTTTAAATCTCTCACTTTTTTTAAAAAAAAAAAAAATGCCCCCCTAGTCTTGAAATCTCCCATCCTAGGGGGGAAAAAAAACAACTACCATTTACTCTCTGTGCCTTTCATTATTTTATAAACTTCTACGGAGTCACCTCTCAACTTCCTATGCTCCAATGGAGGGAAAAAAAAGTCCCAGTCTATCCAGCGTTTCTTTATAACTTGAACCTTCCATACCCAGCAACGTTGTGGTAAATCTCTTGTGAAAAATCTCTTCTGAACGCTCTCCAGCTTGATAATATCCTTCCTATAACTGGGAGACCAGAACTGGTCACAGTATTCCAAAAGAGGCCTTATCCATGTCCTGTACAACCTCAACATGACTTCCCAAGTCCTATACTCAAAGGACTAAGCAATGAAGGCGAGTGTGTCAAATGCCTTTTTAACCACCCATCTATAAAAGTGATGTAAATGTCAAAGAATTATGTACCTGCACCCTTGGGTCCCTCTGTTCTACGACACTACCCAAGGCCCTACCATTAGTTGTGTAAGCCCTACCCTTGTTTGTTGTAACAAAATGCAAAACCTCGCATTTATCCAGACTGAACTCCATGTTTCAGTCCATTGACCCATTTGATCAAGATCCTTCTGTAGTCTTAGAAAACCTTCTTCACTGTCTACTATGCCACCAATTTTGGTGTCGCTTACGAACTTACTAACCATGCCTTCTATATTCTCATCCAAGTCATTTATATAAATGACAAGATGACCCAGAACGAATCCCTGCAGAACACTGCTGGTCACAGGCCTCCAGTCCAAGAAGCAACCCTCCAACATTACTCTGTCTCCTGCTGTTAAACCAATTGGCAAGCTCAGCCTGAATCCCATGTGACCTAACTTTAGATTTGGTTAAAATTCTAAAGTAGTAAAGGTCACAAAGGAGGCTGTGACTGTAAGAGATACAGGGAACTGACATGGAGAAGAGTCCACCCTTGACCTTATTCAGCAGGTAGGATGTACTTGTTATCATGTAGAACCTTGTCAAAGGCTTTACTAAAATCCAAATAAACAATGTCTACTGCACTGCCATCATCAAATTTTTTGGTAACTTCCTCAAAAAAATTCAATCAAGTTTGTGAGACACAATTTTCCTTACATAGAACCATGTTGACTTTCCCCAATCAAGTGTTGCCTCTAAATGTCCACAAATCCTATGTTTTATAATTACCTTCACCAATTTACCCACACCTGAAGTCAGACTCAGGTCAATAGTTTCTCCTTACGATCTTTCTTAAACAAAGGTACAACATTAGCTACCCTCATCGGGCACCTCACCCGGAGTTATAGATAATGCAACTATTTCTGCAAGGGGTCTCAATTTCCTCCTTCCCAGAACATTCTGGGATACATTAGATCAGGTCCTGGAGATTTATCCACCTTTATATTCTTTAAAACCTCCTAATCTTCCTCTGCTGTAATGTGAACTGTTTTTAAAACATCAAAGTTTATTTTTCTGCATTCTCTAGACTCCATTTCTTTCTCCACAGTAAAAACTGATGCAAAATATTCATTTAGTATCTCTCCCATCTCCTGGGGTTCAACACAAAGACGACCTCCTTGATATTTAAATTGCCTTACCCTCTCCCTAGTTACCCACTTGCTCTTAATGTATTTGTAGAATCGCTAGATGATCTTTCACCTTACCTGCCAATGCTACCTCAAATCCCCTCTTTGCCTCCCTGATTTCTTTCTTAGGAATGCCTCCACACTCTTTATATTGATTAAGAGATTCAACTGAACCAAGTTGTCTATATCTAAAATAAGATTCTCTCTCTTTTATTCCTTCTCTAGAACTTCAATATTTTTATTCATCCATTGTTCCTTAATCTTACCAGCTTTACCCTTCACTCTAATAGGAACATGAAGCCTCTAAACTCTTGTCATCACAATCTTGAACACCTCCCACTTGTCAGACGTCCTTTTACTTATGAACAGTCTACTCCAATCAACTTTTGAAAGTTCTTGCCTCATTTCATTAAAATTTGCCTTACTCCAATTAAAAACTTTAACTGTTATGGAAGGCTTATCCTTTTCCATCACAATTTTGAAACTAATAGAATTACAATTGCTACACCCAAAGTGTTCCCCCACTTTTACTTCAGTCATCTGCCCTGCCTTATTGCACATAAGGAAGTCTAGTTTTGCTCCTTATTTGACAAATTCTTCACCGTCCAAACCTTTAACACTATGGTAGCCCTAGTCAATGTTTGGAAAATTAAAATCCCCCATTACTACAACCTTATTATGCTTACGTATATCTGAGATTTCCCTGCATTCTTTTTTCTCAATTTCCCTTTTGTACAAGCCCATCAAAGTGCTCTTTATGTGTTTAATTAGTTAATAGCTTACTCAGTTAAATAAATAAAGTAATATTTTAGGAATTTGCACTTTCCAAGCTTGGAGATGAAGAAAAATTCAATAACTGGATTTTAAAAAGGCAAAAGTTGGAGTACCTCCTTCCCCCTAAACCAAATTCCCACATGAACCCAGTTGGCCGTTATACAGTCAATGTTTTGTTTGGGTATAATCCTACCATGCACTGCTTACAAATCCAAGAATTTCTGTTTCTACGACACCATTTATGACTTTGAGGATATCACAGAGCACTAACTTATTTTGGAATATAGGGAAAGTGCAGTTAGTACACGATAACCTCTCATTTTTGATATTGCTTGAGGGATAAACTCTGCTTAATGTCTCATACAAATTATCTCACTTATGAGTGCAGAACTCCCTCAGTAGTGCTGTGGAATTTCAACCTACATTTTCCTTTGTGCTTAAGTGGGACTTGAACCGAAATCTTTGACTTGGAGTGCTATCCAGTGAGTCACAACTTGCATTTTCTTTAAACCTAATGACAACTTTGGTAGCAGTATTTTTAAATGGTGGTTGGATATCATATACTGAAACACTGAAAATTAAACCATGATTTTATTTCAGTATATAAAAAGAAACTGACCACATGTTCAGAGAATTTGATGGTGCACTGGCCACACGCAAACCATATTTAATTTAAATACATACAATCATGATTCTTGTGAAAATTTTAAAAATAATTTCATGCATGAAGCAGTTTCTTTATATTTGTTACAATGTATAAAATTTATTTAAATATTTACAGTACTTAAAAATCAAATACAAAAATTATATAAGAACTATATTTTCCAAAATGAATCAAAATTAATATAGTTGCAGTTTATAACCATTTCATGTTATAGGTACTTCCATGGATATTTATTATATTGCTATTTTATTCTACTGTGTAACACTTTGCTAACTCAGTTATACACTTCCA